ATAAACTGGGGGAAAGCTGGCCGGGGGGGCCGCTGCTCGGGGACTGGCTGGGCATCAGTCGGTGGGTGGTGAGCAATTGCATTGTGCATCACATGCTTTGTGTATTCTTTTATTATTATTGTTGTTATTATTATTGTTTTATTTTATTTCAATTATTAAACTGTTCTTATCTCAACCTACGAGTTTTCTCATTTTTACTCTTCCAATTCTCTCCCCCACCCCACTGTGGGGGGGGAGAGTGAGCAAGCAGCTGTGTGGTGCTCAGTTGCCGGCTGAGGTTAAACCACAAAAATGTACTGAACACATGACAGCTTAAGAGAAACTTTAGCTTGAAGATCTTATGTATTAGAATGTGTATATGTTTAAAATTTCAGCTGAAGTGTTCAAGAGTTTCTCATATTCACTGTCATTGTTCAATACAGTAATCAAAAAACATGCTAATCTCAAAGCACTTTCATTTTTCAAAGAGCTCTCCCAGTAAGGGAATCCATGAAGTCAGAAAGAAACATAGATAAGACAGCGCAGACATTCTACAGGCCTTCTTGTAACTCACTTAAGAGCCAACCACATCACCCGAGATGTCTTTTGCTTGAGACAGCAAAACAGAGCCAGACACACTTCTAATAACGGTCGTCTTTCCTCACCGAACTCCTAGTTCACCACAGAGCAGCATTTTACACTGTTCTTTATTGTGTAATCAGAAACACTATTTTCTCTAGTTTTGCTCTTTTCTTAGGATCCCTAAACCAACAACTGATAGTCCCTTTTCTATGGAAATATTTATGCAGTGTTATTATCCAAGACACTCCCGAAGGCTGAAAAAGCCAGAGACAGAAACAAGTTCTATGCAGCTGTCCAGCTCTTAGTCCCAAATCTTGTTCTACGACCTTGATGAAAGCGTTAATTAGTTGTACTCAACATTACTAAGCCAGCAGAGTCTACTGAATAAATATTTCAGAAAAAAATAACTTAATCTACAAAAATATAAATGTTAGGCAGGTTTACATGTTACTTGTAAAAGCACCTTCCTCACCTCTGCTTATTGATGTCTGCTATAGTTCAATGCCTGGAAGAAATTAATAACGTCTTCACAGCCACAAATGCAATAGCTAACGTACTATTTGTTTTGGCACAAGGCTAGATGTACCAGGAGCCCAGCTGGGCTAAACCAGGCATTCATGACTGAGCTCCAGTGCAAAAGAAAGATGCACGAGGTGGAAGCAAGAACAAGCTACAAAAGAGGAATATAGAAGCATTGATCAAGTATGCAGGGACAGTGCCAGGAAAGCCAAAGCTCAGTGACAGCTGAAACTGGTAATGGACATCAATGGCAACAAGAACAGCTTCTACCACTACATTAACATTAAAAGCCTTAATAAGAAAAATATGGGATATTTGCTGAATGGGCACAGTCGTTTAGAGACAGTGGACTTGGGTAAGGCTGAAGTACTCCATACCTTCATTACCTTATCCTCCACAGACCTGGTTCCCAGGTCTTAAGAGCCTAGAGACTAGCTTCAAGAAAGAGAATTATCAGCAGCAGATGAGGATCAGGTCAGGGATCTCCTGAGAGACCTCCAGTCATGCAAATCCACAGCACCAGATGAAACACTGAGAGAGTTAGCCAATATCATTGGAAGACCACTCACTATCACCTTTGTTAAGCCATGGTGATCAGGGGTCTCCCATAATTGGGACCTTGCAATGACTGAAGATAGACATTGCACACATCTTCAAAAAAAGGCAAGAATAACTACAGGCCTCGCTTTGGTCCTTGGAAAAGTCATGGAGCAAGTCCTCTTGGAAGCCATTTTTTGGCAAGTGAAGGAGAAGAGTGTGAGCGGGAATGGCCAGGATATGGTTTAGCCTGGATAAACCATGCTTGGCTAACCTGCCTTCTACAATGAACTCACTACATCTGTGGATAAGGGGAGAATTGCGTACGTCCACATGGTCATTGTATCCAAACGGGACATCACAGTCTAGGTGACTAGACACCTAAATGTGCAAAACAACTAGGTGGATCATTGGGCTCAAAGGTTGATGGTTAATGGTTTGTACCCTCCTTGGTGACCAGCTACAAGAGCAGTTTCCCAGGTTCTATCCTACTTAATACTACTTCATCAATGACCTGAAAGAGGAGATGGAGTGCGCCCTCATCATGTTTGCGGATGGGGTACAGTCCATATGCTCAAGGGCAGGGCTGCATTTCAGAAGAATCTAGATTTTACGGGAATGGGTCACCAGAAATGTCAATTAAATTCAACAAGGACAAATGCAAAATTCTGCACCTGGGATGGACGAACTTCTTGCAATGGTACCAGCTATGGAATGACTAGCTTGGGAGCAGCTCTGCTGAAAAACACCTAGGGGTCCAGGTGGACAGTAGCTTCAACAGGAGTTAGCATGGCATCCTGGCTAACATAAAGGCTAACCGCATACAGGGCTGTATCAACAGGATCATAGCCAGTATATCAAGGGAAGTGTTTATTCCCCTTTACGTGGCATTTGTTAGACATATCTGTAATAGCGTGTGTAGTATTTGGGCCTTCTAGTACAAGAAGGATCTTAACTTGAGTGAGTTCAGTGAAGGACCACCAAGGTAGTTAGAGGGCTGGAGCACATGCCCTGTCAGGAGAAATTGAGGGAACTGAGCTTGTTCCGTCTGGAGAAGGGAAGGCCTGAGGTGACCTGAGCAGGAGGTTGGACTACAGACCTATTGAAGTCCCTTTTAACCTGAATGGGTATATGAAAAAAAAGTAACTACACCAAGCCTCACATGCACACCTACCTACAGGAGCGTTGCAGGCTTCCACAGCTAGTGAATTAAAAGCTAACTAATGAAAAAAAACCAAACTTAATAATCATAGCAGGAAAGGGAGGCAGAGTCAAGGACGTAGTTTACCATATCTTTCAATGACTAGATACTTTGGATAGATTGCTACCAAAACTATTCCTTTAAGTTTAAACAAAAGGATTACAACTTTAAGCTTCCATTTAACAATTTCAAGGTTTCCAACATCTCATAGACCTGAAGTTACACAGTCTACATGTCTAATAATAAAAAGGTGACATCTAAGAAATATACCATACACTTCTTCAGAAGAACTTACCTTGGTATCTCTGAACTCTGCCTTTTCCAAATGGCATTGGTAGATTCAAAGGTATGTAGTGCTCATGATTACAGACTACACGGAGAAATTCAAATTTCAGTTCAAAAAGAGTCTGCAAAAATAATTTTAAAGTATAAATTAAACAACTGATGCAGTGATTTGAATAACACATTAGAAACAGCTTTCTAACACAAATGGGTGATTTCTCTCAGTCTTGCAGTATGAGGGATATAGACCTGTCGAAGTTCCATATGTCAGTATAAAATAATTCCAGCATAATTCATGTTTGACAACTGGATATAGTTCTATTTAGTGTTCCCATTGTCCAAAGTTATTTAAGTTTACTAGCATATCATGTATTGATGTAAGAAAAGTTTGGACCCACAGAAGTTGTTCTTTGGACATCTGGTACATGCTTTCACCACTACAGTAAATGTACAGAAACTTATCAGATATCAACTCTTCCAACTTTAGCCTTTCTCACATTCATGCTTAAAATTTCTGCTTAGTGTTGCACCCCCACACTCCACCACTTTCACAATACACACACTCTAGGGTGGTAAAGTTGCACCTGAAGGTGGGAATCAAAATATGAAGAAGTGATTTGATGGAAAAAGAAAATGCTCTAGGCACAGTGCAGGGACTTCTAATGTAACTGGGAAGAAGTCTGAACACTTAATGCGCTACTCTATCCACATGCATCAAGAAGAGGCAACTCCTACAAATAGTTTGTTTAAAAACACTGAGTACCTTCGGATCTCCTGGGGCAAAGCAGCTGATGTAGTTATTGATTTGCTTGAAAACAAAGCCTCTATCCATGAAAGTAAAACACCTCTGGGGAAAACAAGCAAAACCGAGATAGAATTGATTTAGTACTGTCTCAGTGCTCAGTAGCTATATTTCTGTATTTAATAAGTTTATTTTCCAAACATGACTGGTATTTCAGTTTGAATATAGAAAATAATAAAACAAGCAAACTAAATATATGTATACATATATGAATACCAAATTTTCCCTTAGAGTGCAGAATGTAAACAAATTGCAAATAAAAAGCAGTTTGGAGAGAAGAACTCTATCTTGACAGAAATGAAAATGAATGTGCCACTAGCAGTTTTATCTACCATTTTATTTCCCATCCTTTTTTCTCCCTACTGGTTCTTATTGGCTGGAAAAGGAAAGACACTGAAATACTGTCTACATAAAATGCATGCAAATAAAACACCACTCAATGTATGAAGCTTTTGTAGGATTGGATTAAAAGTAAACCGAGATGATATTTTTAAAAAAAAAAAAAAAAAAAAGAAAAATCAAAACACATTTTGGATTAAATATAAATACATTAAAAAATATATCAAACTTTCGAACAGATGTCTTCTTGATTACAGAAGATGCAAATTATACTTCAATACATTTTAACTTGGACATAGAATTACATTTAAAAAGCATTATCCATATTCAGTTTTACATGAGTTCACTTTAAGATTCTTTAAAATCCATGAAGAAGCAATATTATTGAAAAAGTAACCACAGAGCCCAAGTCGCTTGTGTACCTACTTTTATAAAGGCAGCAAGGCTATGGTTTGCATTTTTTGAAGCCTCTGGATTGTCTCTGTACTTCTGAGTGATGTGTGGCATTAGCATATTAACAACTGTTTCAACTGCATGATGAAAGGAAGCAGAAAATCTCTGGTTTCGCAACAGCTAGAAAAAAATTCAGATACAATATTTAATATGGTTTATAACATTAAAATAGATCAGAAAATTTACTTTAGATAAGATATAGATAACCTGACCAGGAGAGTGGAGACAAAGAAAGTTTTCAAATTTTCTCATTTGTCATTTAAAGTAACATTTTCTTTGAATTCAAGATTTTCCTGAACTTTCTAGACTGAGGGGGAAAAAAGAGCATTTGGTTAAAAGAAAGTATTACAACATGCACTAACATCTGTTGTTAAAATTCAAGCAAGGCATCTTTGATGACAAAAACACACATATAAAAGTTTGTAAGTGTAATGCAGTAATATTTTTCTATACTACAATAAACTTGACGACAGAAGCTAAGAATAAAAGGGAATCTTTTAATTCTATCTATCTTCCTCTCCAAAGCAGACACCAGCTGGTTCACGTACAGCAACTGCATTATCAGAATCTCTTTTCTGCCTTGGGAAAAAAAAAAACGTTTTTGCTGTTCTGCAACTATCTTTTTAACAACTCCTTTGCCTTTTGCCATTGTGGAAATTCTCATCCATGCTTCTTTCTTTCTCTTGCTCATCAGCGGCTTCCAATCTCAGCTCGTACAGGCTTCAGAATCTTACTCTCCATGTTTTTAAGTTTCCACAATCAGAACAGTTTTCCCTTGCTTTTAGGCAGTTTGCCAAGTAGCTTAAAAGATCTCCTCTACATTCACGATTTCCTCCTTTCCACTCACCATCTATATTATCTTCATCAATGATTTTGTACATTCTGACCAGTATTGGTCAGTAAGTTCTCTTCAGCTTTTTGGCACTGCAGAGCCTCTTTTATTTCTCTACATCTTACAATCTTTAATAAAGATTCTGTCTTTTGTCTGAAGGGACTTAATGACTGGTGGTGTGAGGCTGAAGAAGTGAACGCTGACAAAAACTGTTTCAACTGTACAGTCATGTCTTTTCTTTCTGAAAACTAAAATCAAAACATCCAAGTGCTCTGAATACTTTGTTATTTAAATAGTTTTTTGAACTATATTGAATGCAACATTCCTAGGCAGAACAAGTCATTGTCAAGGCCCTGAATAAATCAATTATACAATTTGCTCCCTTTGTGTTTGAACTGTGCTCCAAATTCTCTAGTTCTATTTAAAAAAAAAAAATATATTTTTTAAAAGATAGATATTAAGGTTGAAAAAGATCCCTGTATAAATATCAGCAGTACTCACTGATGAAATAACAATTAAAAATTAAAAATTCTGTTGGTGGGTATGCCAGTCAGTGTCCTACGACATTCTTGTAACTCAGTCTTTGCTGGACAGTAATTAAATATTTTTAAAAGTACTACAAAATTCTTGTTACAGAAATAATTTTGCTGCACTCAGAAATGCATCTTTTTATCAGCTCTCATAAGTAGAAGATATCTGAATGCATGTTCCATTTATTACTTTACCCACTAAGACAGAAAAAAAGCTAGCAAAATAATTTATTTGATATTTAAGGAGTTTGTACATCAAGAAGTGATGTTCAGGAATGAGGATACATGCAAACAAGAGGTGAGTTCTGCTCCTTTTTCTTTCATGTAACAGGGAAGATGACAATGCCGTGAGTTCTAAAAGTGGAAATGTTTTTTAACATGAAATGTGGAGACAACAATAAAAGTCTATCATAAAATGTCACTCCAGTAGTTTATAAGCTATGAACTTTACTTCACGTTACTGCAGGGGAAGAATGAGAAAGAACAGCCGTTCAAGGTGATACACAGCAAAGTACTAGAATCTAAAGGTGCATGTTAAAAGAATTTGTTTCCTTTGTACAATTGGGCAGTTCATATTTGGGGGTTGCTTTTGAAGATACTATTAAAAACAAACAAAAAATTAACCTGAAATGGATGGGGCTCCTATACAACAAGTATACCTAGCATGTAGAACACTCTATTGAGTGGGACATCAATAGAAACCAGACAGGTATTTTCCAGTATCAAGCTTAGGGGTTTGGGGGTGGGGTTTTTTGTTTGGTTTGGGCTTTTTTTCCTCTTCAGGTAGAATGACTGCATGCTACTATACATGTAAGTCCTAACAAAAAACGTGGCAACATTTTGGTAGTTTCAATGCTGCATAAGAAAATTTCTGTATGAACTGTTATCATCTTAGAAAGATTTATGGCTACAGAAGCTACTAAATCTATAAAAATCCTTATTTTCTGAAATAAAATGGGGTCTCTTACAGAGTTAAAAGTGCCATCAGTATTTAGATCACATTTTTGTGGTTTATCTACTTCTTTCTGGCAACTTGGAATCATAAATAAAATGCCACTAGCAATTAGTGCTTTCTTTGAAAAGAGTCATGCTTTTTCCATGGTCGTATTTTCTCCAGCCCATCTTCTACAAAATGCGTGTTTACAATTATGTTGTTAAGAGGTAGAGCAAACATTCATTAAAATGAAATTATATAAAATTTTAGCCTACCTAAAGAATTTTGTAGGGCAGAAAGATTACTTAAAAAGAACAAAACTTTTTCAGAATTTATATGATCATATAATCCCATGTAATAGACAAAATTTGATGCAACAAGTTGATGTAAAATATCACTTAAAGAAAGGTCAGAATTCCTAGACCAATATTCAGAAATATAAACATACACTGAATTGTCTCCTGCCTACATCTTTTGGTGCATTTTAATGAAAATCCTAAGCTTACTCATAACAACCCTTAGAAATCGATCTCAGAAGACCACAGTTTGTACAGCATGTCATTCATAGCACATAGTAAATCACAAAATGAACTGCTCAATCTTTCAAGTACAGCAAACCTGAGGCCATTAGGTCTCAGCTACTGGTTGTTACTACTAAAAAAAGAAAATAATCAGTGCCTTCTCTTATAGATACTTAGGTCACTTAGACATGAAAGAGATGGAGGTCTTCGAGTAATAGTTATGGTTATGCCTACCCCAATTCACACCATATTTCCATAACACCCGGTAATCAAATCAGTCTCAGGCTTCTGTAACTGATACAGTGTTCCTTTACCAACTTTGTTTTCCCTAAAATTAAAGTCTTGTTAAATTGAATTTGTTCTTCAGACGTACGTGCTGGTGCTCTCCAAATATAATTCTTTTATTAGGATTACATGGGTCAGCAAAGACACATTAGCTTTGAGCAAATGAATCAGTATAGCACTTGTGGAGGAAAGAAATAGTAATAAAAAAATAAAAAAATAATCAAGAACTAGTAGTAATGTGAATGCTCATCAATGGTAGCATACCATACTATACAAGAGATGCAGATCATATGGGAGAGGATACTAAAAACACGGACACTGGCTGAGTCATTCTGAAAAGTAAATTGTATTTGGTTTTTGTTTGTTTACACAGATCCCTGCTTTAAAAAAGATGATATTCTACTGTACTTATTTTATCCACCATCTGATCTCAATTTAAAAATATAATCCTATTGTAAGGAAGTTATAATTAAATTAAGGAAATGGGTTTGTATGACAGCAAGTTAGTGGTTTCTTTGAAGTTTTTTTTAAACCAATATGCTGTTTCCAAACTTGTGAGGACTTCTGTAGGTTTGTTAAAATCAGGAAAAAATATATAAACTTTGTTTAGCCAAGCACAAACAGCATGTTGTTGTTTTTCAGAGTATCACCTACCAAATCCAATAAAAAACTTCCTCAAGCTATACAAGTTTCACACAAACCATGTTTTGAAAACCTTGCCCAGATGCACCACATTCTGTAATTAGAAAAACTGTATCCTTCTCAGAGCTGAATACTGTAAAATAAAAAGTACTGCTAGTACTGTCACGTAAGTACTGAAACCAACAAAAATTCCTTCAGTTTTTATCAACATCATTTTTAAATTATAAAATTCTAATTCAATTCCAGAATTCTCTAGAAAATGTCATCTTTAAATAAGCAGCAGTGTTTTCTGCTTTGTAAGATTATACTTTCATTTCAGTTTAATTGATTAAATTAATACAATTAATTTAACTGATTATAATAAGCTCAAAATAGCGAAATAAGAAAATAAGAAATACTCAATTCACAGAGTGAACAGAAGCACAAACGCCTTCCTCAAGGAACATCAAATCAATAATAAAAATTTAATTTTAAAGATCCTGAATTATTTGAACAGATACTATGAAAGAGCAAAAAAAAGAGAAACAGAAAAAAGTCCATCTGAATATGTTTCTTACTTTGGTTTGAATTAACAGTATTTCTATTGATTAGTGGTAGAAAAAGTTGTAAGTCTCTCCTTTTTACAAACGCCTTCCTCAAGGAACATCAAATCAATAATAAAAATTTAATTTTAAAGATCCTGAATTATTTGAACAGATACTATGAAAGAGCAAAAAAAAGAGAAACAGAAAAAAGTCCATCTGAATATTTTTCTTACTTTGGTTTGAATTAACAGTATTTCTATTGATTAGTGGTAGAAAAAGTTGTAAGTCTCTCCTTTTTGCTAGAAATTTTGAAAAATTCCCAAAGAGCTGATCAGTTAAAACCAGCAAGAAGTTTGACACCTTTAATGCAAAAGGATGTACTACTGCACTGCATGCACAGCAAATCCTCTGTGCATATATTTGCATTCTAAAAACTCCTAAACAAATGGTAGCTGTCACACTTCCCTAGACAATCTAGGCTGTTAGTGGTAAAAGCTTGCCTTCTTCCACACTTCAGAAGATACTTAAAGCTGTAGTACTAGTACCATGTAAATACTCAAATTCCCCCCACTCCCTTAAACTAAAGGCCTATTTCTAGATTAAACAGACTACAAATACCAGGTAAAAGTTTATGTCCGTATATTAGAGTTCATCAGGCTGGTTTTGCACAAAACACGTCTTCCCTGACAACTGTCTAAGCTGTTTTTAAAAAAAATCTGCCAATAAAGGTTCCAGAATTTCCAGAACCACTGCTCCAATTAAAAGCTGAGATTTTATTTAAAAAACAAAACTATTTCATCATTTCTTTTTAGTAACATAAAGGAGATCACTCTCTTCTTTGTGACATTTTAAATGGAGACAACTCCTTTTCCTTATATAAAAACGCAACACAACAGCTAGCATCTCATGAGGCTACACGCAAAAATTTGAGGTCCTCTTCAAATGCAGAATAACAGGATGAAGTCAGCTATTCTTTGCAGATTTTATCTACTCATAGAAACTGAAAGTCAGAATAAAACATAGCTGGGCAGACTGAGGTGGGGGAAGTTAAGCTTAAAATACACAATCGATTTTGCTACTAAATGAGGAGCCTCACAAACTGACTGAGCTCCTCCTGCATTCCAGAGCAGCGGGAAAAATAGTTACACGTGTTACAGATTTTCCTCCTGTTTTAATTCAGATTGTTAAAAAAAAAAATTCCTTCTATTTCTACAAAGGGTGCAATGCTGAAGCCTGGTATCTTTACTGTGTGATCTATTTCAGTAGAATGCATAGTTCAACTTGAATCCATAAATCATGCTCTTCCTCTCTATTATTATGGTAATCTGCAAATCATGTATCAGTAATTAGTGCTAAAATGAGTCCAGCTGAATACTGTATTAAGGCAGATTTTTTTAATTTACTACTAAGTAACAGTCAGTCTGGTGATGCGATTTAATTCTTCTAACTAAAAGTAAACCAGTAAGATGAACAGGAAAACATTTTTATTCTGTATTAGTATTCTAAGAGAAAGTGATGGTTACTAGGATTTGGACATCAAACACATTACTTTCATGAATATCTAATGATGAAAAAGTCATTTGACCAATTATCACATGGAGTTCACATGCTTCTTAAATGAAAAATGAATCAATAATTTCTTTAAAGATTAGATCTAACCAGTAAGATGAACAGGAAAACATTTTTATTCTGTATTAGTATTCTAAGAGAAAGTGATGGTTACTAGGATTTGGACATCAAACACATTACTTTCATGAATATCTAATGATGAAAAAGTCATTTGACCAATTATCACATGGAGTTCACATGCTTCTTAAATGAAAAATGAATCAATAATTTCTTTAAAGATTAGATCTACTGAAATAGGAAAGTCCAGACACTTAAAGTAAGTTGAACTGGGACTCAAACTCTACTGATCATACCACAGCAGAACAGTATAAGTGTAGCACTCTAAAGTGTTTTTCCTGATCATCGTCCAAGTATTTTTTTCTTTCCCCCACGTACTTCAGACTTCCAGTTGTGTTTTAAATACACAGTGAAAAAACAGGTAAAGATTTCAGAACAACCTGGTATGTTACTCAGCTGGGACTATTTTGTGTATTTGAAACTTTACTTTCAAGACTTGTTTTAATACAGAAGTAAGTAAACTAAAAAGCTGTCACCAATGTAAGAAAAATACTGCTTATAGGCCAAGCTGGTAGAAAAATGCCTGTTTCTAAAATTCTAGCATTCTCTTTCCAGCATAGGAAATAACACAGAATTAAATATTGATACTTCTTATCGCATAGAGAAGGACTGTAGACTGCATGATTCACTGTTCTCAGGGACATTTTATATCACGGCTACTGTACTGCTTAGGAAATAGCCTAGATATTTTTGGGTAGTACTTACATCAAAGTCCACAGTGTTATCTGTTGCTTCCAGCTTCATTGTACCATTAGTATTAAGAAATCTAACTAGTCTCTCTGATGATTTACACAGACTGCTCTACCGTATGGATTTTAAGGGGTTTCTATCCTTTTATAGTAATGTTGAATCTACCCCTGTAGTTTTTTCTATCTAATATTTCAACTGATTTCTCCTGCCGCTTTGCTCTTTTCCTCCCTTTCTTATAAATGAAGATATTATATATAAATCATAGCCATTTATATATAAAACTTTTTCTTCTAATATGCAATAAAAATGTGATTGGAGAAAGAAGAGACTATACAAATTCTCTTTAGAATAACACTTTTTTTTGCAAAAGTTGACATACCTTCACTTTAGAGTTTTCTATCAAATGCTGAGCCATTGATTTTATCAGAACTTCAAAGAAAAACCATGAATACTGCAGAGAAAAGAAAACATTCTGTAAAATTGCCACATGCATTCAACAACTATTTCAATACAATTAGTTCCTATTCTTCAGTTATGACAAGAACATACAGTAAAAAGTATAGTTCAATATATACCTTAAGTAGCTTGTTGCTTGTAAGAAAGTCAGCAGATGGCTTTAAAATTGTTGTCATGGACTTTGTCAATTCTTCATGTACTGTCTTATATTCAGAAGCAACATAGGGTTCAGCTTTATAAGCATACTTGGGGAGGAAAAACAGAATATAATATGAAACTATGACATAATATGAAACAATTGAAATTGAATAGATGCAACTAAATTTAAATATACTCTTTTTAGAGAGATAAAAAAAGGAAATATTCAATTTACTTTTTACCTACCTTGACATAAGATCTCAGGTAGCTATCCAAGCCTTCTTCATGACACTGAGCAACAATATGGATAATAACCCTAAACAGAAGTCGGAAACCAAGTAAGCTTACAAAGAAAGCTATGATCGCAATAGCAAAAATGCTACTCAGTTACAGATTTATGTGATAACCTAGTCATCACTTAAACTCTATGAAGCACTTAAAATTCTTTACCTTGTCACATTGACTGCAACTTCCTCTTGAGTTGCTCTAGTGAGAACTCTAAACAACTGGTTTAGAACAGTTGGCAGGAAAGCTATCATCACATGGCCTTCCATAGCATGAAGGCTCTAAAAGAAAGCAGTAATAGAGTCACTCCCTTGAAACAATGGCATTTAAATCACAAGTTCGGAAACAATAAAATCTACTGCAGGTCTTTTTCCAAAAACACACACTGCTTGCACTATTTGGTGTTAATTACCTGAAATACTGCACAGAAAGCAATTGAGAATAGTTTCCAACATAAGTATTTGGTAAAATATTTTCTACATTAAGGTAAATTAGGGATAAAAATTAGGTTTTATTAAAAGCATTTTAGAAATATTTGTACTTTTCCATTGAAATGCATACTAGGTAATGTTTCAATGAAAAGACTACCTGTGTACACCACAGCAAGCTGACACTGACACTCTGTGATACTTTGCTATTTCATTCACCAATGCAGACATTTAGCAAACAGAAGTTCCACAAAAATATACAGATTGCTTACCTGTGTTAAGTGCAATACTAGTTATACTAGTCACTGCAACACAACAAACTAATATGTTAAAAACTAGAATGAACTAAAATCCCTAACTATCTAATGCTGGAAATTGGAGACAGTGAGTTACTAACCACTCAACTTCTTCATGATATGCCTTTGCTTTCCATCACATGCAAAAGATATTATAGACATAACAACCCTGACATAAAAGGCAGTGTATGGCATTTCATCCTACATTGTTTTATGCCACAAAATTCCCTGGAGTTAGAGGGAGTTTGACAAAAAAAGAGTGTATTTGCTGAACACGCGTACAGACAACACATTTCAAACATTTCCATTCACTGTTACATAGCGGTCTTGTCTTTGAATGTTTGCTTCTATGCATGTTCACACTATTCAGGACTCAAAACAGTCTTCCTTCCTACATGACCCATGATTTTTCTTGGAAACAGCAGTCATACGCTACACCATCTTTTCTATAAGCCTTGAATATCAGAGCATTGGGTAAACAGGCAAATGGAACTTCAGCTCAGACTTTTTTCCAGGATGCAGACATTTTTTGGTAAGGTGCTGTTTTAAGTAAGACTCTGAAGTGGACTTGTAACCCAACCTCCGATGCCTTTTAGTGTACAATTACACTTAGACTGCCAGAAGTAGCTGTGCCCTTTGATCTCTCAGGCGGCAATGGAGGTAACTACAAGTAGATACCTCAACTTATGAGATGCTAAGTGATGTTTGGGCTCACAAAACATGAAGGAGAGCATACAAACATCTCGAGTCAGGTAAGTCTCAGAAAACCTTTAAGTAGAAGCATCAGACGGTGCTTACACAAAATCCTGTTAGGGAGGGTAAGAGCAGAAAGAAGAGAGAACAGGAGAACGCTTGTCAGGTTCAGTAACCCAAGCTACTCTGCCAGTAGCACACTGGCTTTGTGGAGAAAAGTAAATCCTAAGTATTTAAATGTGTCATTGCCATTATAGCATAGACGTTACCTGCAGGAAACCGTCACCAGCAAACTGAAACGTTGATTTTTAAAGAACATTTAGCACTCAGGCTGGCCAAGTCTGGCACAGATAGGTACAGGCTGACACACAAAAGGCAAGCTCTCAATACACAAGAGAAGTAAAAAGTATTTGGGTCCCTGTGAGGCCCAGCTAGACAGGAATTTGGCCCAATAGAATTGAGAATTGCCATAATTTGTAGCTGACACAGAAAACAGCATTTGTTTTCTGCTACCATGAAGCGAGGCAATAAAGTCAATGTGATGTGTTAATCTAGTGGTGTGGAACATGTTTATACTGTGTGGTGAGAGCGTTCTGGTGTTTGACAACAAGCAAGAGTTATAAAGAGGCTCTGCAGTTGCATTATTCTGTCCCAGGGATTTTGGCAAGACATGGTCTTGTCACTGAACCTAAAGATTTTGCTAATGTGGAATTAATATAAATATAAATAAATTAAGTGTTTAAAGGCAAAGGAATAAGCTACCCAAATATATTACAGTATATGTCATCACATACAACTGAAGTAAATAATGTGATTTGGGAGTAATCTGAGGAAGTGTTCTTTTGAGCTTTCCCTAAAATGATACTTTAATATCTGATGGTCACTTTGTTCTACCAGACTAACAAGAGTTGTGAATATCAAGAAGACATCAACCCTTTGATTCCAGCCAACTGTCATTTTTGATGGTCAGCGGGTGGCAAGATAAATCTGAAATTGCCATGCTAGTCCCTGAAAGAGATTTTTATTATATCAGATTCAAGTAGAGCTCTGGTAAACTTAAGAAACAGTGGGATTTCTCGAAGTAGTGTGAATCCCGATGAATCAAACAGGGCAGAAACTGACTGAGGGTTGGTTTACAGCTTCAGCTCCTGAGGTAAGAATCAACCAACCGCCCACAAAGTACAGGGTCGTTCCATTCCTCATAACGTGAACAGTCACTGCTGCCAGGACCCTGGTAAAGAGCCTCTCCATGGTGTGCAAACTGATTTTTTAATAGTAGTGATTCAGACTTGTCATGTATGCAGAGATTTTAGTAATAATGTTTCTTTTCGTGTAACATCTGACTGTTTCCCAGACCAACTGCTTTATATTACAGCACCAGAAAGAGCGAATTCTGGTTTTTTTTCACCTGAACTTATCAATAGACATTCAATTCCCTGAGGTCCAGTATGGACAACAATCCTTCCCTTCTTCTTAATACCAGAAAACATCTGCCATTTTCTCTGGCACCTCAAGTAGCAGGAAAGCTACACCCCTTGAAAAAAAGTGATGGAAATGATACTGACAATATTAAAGAGCTTCAATGAGCCACAGGTCAGATTCTAAGACCTCTAATTCATGATGACAGAACATGCCACCTTTATTATACAGAGAGAAAAAAAGAGAGGTTAAGTCCAATGATAAAGGTTCAGTGTCCCAACTGATCTCAAAACCACAACCAGAGGACAAGAAGGCAAAGCTGCATCAATGAGAAAAAAAACCTTTTATGACTAGGACTTCTAAAAACCTGGATGATTCCTTTGTATTTTGATAGAACACGGGAGGAAATTGAATACCAGTAACTTTAAATCCCTTGCCAGAAAAGTACAAACAGTAGGAAGTGAGAGGTATAGAGGTTCTCTTCTTCAAACAGAAATCTCAGACAGCAGGGCCGCAATGTCCCAGAAGGATTACTTGGGGAAAGATGGAATAATCCCCTTGGCCCCTGGCCTCAAGGCAAGATGAAACACACTGAAGCAGTGGTTCCTCTCCTCTTCCGTCTCTATTGGAGAGAGTTCCTCAGGGCACAAACCACATATACACGGTTAGAAAGACTCTATATTTTGAAAAGTGTCACAATGACAGAGGATTTGCAAGTGCGGTATCAGGGAGGGATTCTGCACATAAGCTGTCTCTAACTCCAGTAGGGCCTCTTGATACTGCAAGAGTGCTGACTTTTAAAGCCAAAACACTACCAGGCTTAGTGCTAGTGCCATCTAATTGGGGACTATTTGGTACAATTACTGCTGCAGAAAGCAGTGGAAATAAGAATGGCTCCAGATCGAAAATTATCAAGGAACCCGAAACAGATACTTCAAGTGAAAAACACAGAGAAATGACATCTTATATCAAAACAAGAATGTCAGCAGCAGAAACCCAAGTGAGAGGCATCTCTAGTGACTCATTCTAAGTAACCATGGGGGATGATGAAGTTCAGCTACAAGACTATGGTCTTTGCCTTACCCTTTTGATGTGAAGCTACCATGGCCAGAATCCCTTCTAAGGGGTTGTATTATTGTCATATGATTTGCCAGCACGTTTTGGGATTGCAAAATTTCAGAATGATAAGGACAAATAGAAGACTGAGAAACAGGTCTGTCAGTAAAAAATGGTAATGATAAAAAAACCTATTTCCAAATAGGCTTATTCCATCTTCCTGCTGTTAACGTACTGTGTCCTGTTTTGTACCAAAGTTGATGACAGAAGTCTTGGGGCAAGGAAGACGATTCAGAGCCATGATTTTGACATAAACAAGGTCACAAAACAAGTCCAGTTCAGAAGTGTGCCACATTCAATAGTTAAGTTCTTACTTAAATGTCTTGAGTAGACAGTCCAGTTTTATTAATTGATGGTATTCAATTACAACAATAAACTCTGTTGTGCCTAAGAAAATTAGGCGTTACTTGTCATACCTTATGTAGATTTTAAGGTGACTGAATTTTGGGCTTTATATTAAAAATTTGGCCTACTTGGTTAAGACAAAATTGCTGTGGAAACCATGCACTCTACTCATCTAATCCTGAAAGAGAACTGTAGACATGATGATGATGATGACCTCCTAAGCAAAATTTTAGAAAATCAAGAGTCATCATTCCATGAGGTGAGGAAACCATGCACTCTACTCATCTAATCCTGAAAGAGAACTGTAGACATGATGATGAACCTCCTAAGCAAAACAAAATTTTAGAAAATCAAGAGTCATCATTCCTTTCCATTCCCATGTGCAGTTCCATTTGATTATATTGACAAAATAAGCCATTAGTGTTTCGAAATTATCACTTATAAGGCTGACCAATACTGTCTCATTATTTACTCATGGTTTCCTCTTATATTGCAATTGTAAATTTACCTAGGGCAGGAAGTATCTTCTTGTTCTTTTTATACTGCATATTCCATTAATGAGACCTAGAAAATGTCTGAAGCTCCTAGGTTTTGCAGGAGAATAAATAAATAATATAATCTGTTACTCACTACCATTTTATACCTTAAGATATTTTACAAGATCAGTTCCTAGTGCACGAGCTCCAGACTCTGTTTTCTGACAGTACTGAAAAAAATTATGCAAGTGCTGGTCCTGTCAAAGACAAAAAGAACAACAAATTAAACAATATCTAACATTACTATCCATAATCCAAAACAGAACACATGAAAAAATTTATATATAGAAATCCATATATGTGTCCATAGATGCAATTTTCAAAAATAATTGAAGTGCACTACTCTGAAAACTAATTTAGTCTACATGTAACTGATTTCTTTTTTAACCCACATAAGAAATTTCCAGTGATTTTTGAATACCAATTATACAAAACACCACCTATATTTCCTTCAAACCAACTGACATGCAGAAGATAACTACCCTTAAGTATGCTATCCCAACTGATCATAACATGTATTTTATGAGCAGCTATAACAGGACTCATTGCTTTGTAGATATGCCAGTAAATAGCTTTCAGACAACTACGACCTCTCATCTAACAGGAAAATTCAGATTGGAATAGATGACCATGTTAGACAAAAGGTTCACATTTTGAATAGCTTCCATTTAAGATCTGCTGTTTTTCACAGCTGATGTGAAAGAGAGATACCATGCAGAGTTTCCAAGAGACAAAAAAAAAAAAAAAAAAAAGAGAGAGATCAGCATATTGAGTTTAAGAATTTTCCCAAATATTGTATATACATATAACAAACATACATTATTTATAAAACTTTCTCTAATTTATTTTATTTTATAACTCACCTGCGTATACACAGTTGACACCAGATGAGTGGATATTTTTAACAGTTGTTTGCCTCCATCTACCCATTTAATTTCAGGACCAGAATGCTGCACGCACACATGCAGAGGAAAAGTAAAATAATGTAGCATTATTCTAGAGTAAAACAATTTGTTTATAGTACCACAAACAACACTTTTTTTTTTTTTTAAAAACAAGTTGAAGAAATGTGTGCAATGAATAAAGTCATAAAAAAAGGAAAATTATGCAGGCAATATTACCAAAAGCATTTATGAAGCTTAAAATGCTTTTTAAAAGTCCCACAGTAGTTTCCTCACTGGCTAACAAAATTGCTTTTCTGTAAGTCACAGATCTCACGTTTCCCCTACAACTTTGCAAAGAAACTTGTGACTAGAGAGAGATATCTACTAGTTTTCCGAGAAAAAGAACAAAAGAATTTCCACAGACACTGACACAGTTTAAACCTTACCATAGGCCACCGATAGCTAGCAGCCAGTGCTTCCTTCCCATCCCACTTCCAAAGAACTGAGAATGGGAATGCTCAGCTGACTATCCTGACAACCAGTTAGGGAAAGATTTTACTGCTAGATCTACAACTAGTCATATTGATCGTAACCTTCTACCCATGGGCATGAGCAGAGACTAACAGCAGAGGCACAAGGAATACACCTATGATGTGAAAAGATGAAAGATGTGAAGGAGTCAATGGTTGGAAAGCTTACAGCAGAGTTTAAAAAAGAAAAGGTGGTAGAATAGGAGGAGAGCAGCACCTCTTGCTGTTGATTTTAGGACTTTTCCTCCAAAATGAGTCAATTTTGTCTCTGTGTTTCATTCTCTTAGTCAAATCCCCTATCACATTTTACATTTTGTATCCTCCTCGGTATCATTTTTATTACCATAATTTTGCAAGCTTTCTGCTTTGAAAAATACAACCATAAATTTTGCTAGTGAAGTATAAAGATCACAAAAATCAAGATGTGAGATGAAGACTTTGTCAGGAATAAAGGACTTACTGAAAGGAGACAGCATGAAATGCTAAAAAAAATTTAGTAAAGGACTTCAGATTATTTGCATATCTTCATAAACTCAAAATAGTTTAATGTATTTAAAAATTACTGTAACTTCTAGTTAATTGTTATTACAAAAAATTAAACTTAAACATTTCCTATGTACATCAGCTGAATAATAACAACAGAAATAAGTACTTAACAATTTAAATGAAAACCTATATTAGGACAGGTTGATTCAAATTCTTGTAAAAGTCAGAATTTGGTCATAAGTTTTGTCTCCCATTTCTCTTTGGGTTGGTTTGTTTCCTCTGAGGCAGATGTCTAACTTTTGCAAAGCACTCCATTGCAACTATAGAAGAAAAAAAATTTCTTCTAGAAAATGACTTAAATCTTATCAGACTGGGGAATTACAACCAAACCTTCTCTTTCCATATCTTTTTTTTAAAGATTAGAGCAATTTTATATAACATACCTTTACAACGCCAACTTCTTGATAACTAAGATAGCCTGACGGAAGATTTGCTGACACAGGGATGTGTTGCTCATTGGTCACCACTCTTCCATCTTTTATTAGAGGAAGCCAAGAATACCCAACTACAGAACATGAAAGGCAAGTAATTTTAAATTTTATGAATCTTTACATAAACCCTTACAAAAGTCTTACTGTACACTTCTGATATGTAATTCATAAACCAGAAAATGTTACTGTAAGGGCCAAATGATTTGAACTCAAACAATTAGAAATAATTGAAAAGGCAAATAAATTGTCACTGAGTTTGAAAAAAACTTGATAGACATTCTAAAACAACATTTGAAACATTTAAATTAAAAGAAATACTTAATGAAATCTTTCAGTCTGTATAATGTAATTAGAAAGCATTATATGGATCACAAAAATCACAGGTTACCAGATAAGCATACTTCATAAAATCGCCCCAGTAATTACTGAAAGTAAAGCATTAGCGTACCTACCTTGTGTTTCAACAACATCTTTTTTCTTTGTACTCCCTTTGCTTGAATTGTCACAGCTGACATGGTAGAAGGTGAACAACAAATGGTGCTTTTCATGTAATTGAGTGGGCAATTCTATTTTGATCTGAAAGGCAAAGAATCACAACCTTTGTAGAAGTCTTCAGCTAGAGCAGTGACATGCCTTACTGGTCACACACTTAAAAAGCAATTCCAGTTATATGCTATTTGAAGCAAGATCAAGAATCACACACTCAAAACTTACAAAAAATTTACTTACAGTGAAAAGGGAGGTCTGATTTAACTGAAATAATTATCAAGAACTTTGCAATCCTCAAATCTTTTCTTGTATTTTTGAAACTTACGTAATACCTAAACCAGTAAAAGTTACCTCAGAAAGGTAGCTTACCTCATCATAAAACTCTGGATTTTGATGGTGATGCAGAACAGCAGCAAATGCACTTCTAGTAAATACTGGCCCACCTGGCCTACCATAGATACACTAATAAAGGAAAAAAGAACAAAAAAACCCCCTGTAATCCTTTTTCACTCTCAGCTTAAAATCTGTTTCACCCAGAATTTGAAATATTTTAACTCGTGTTTAACTTGGTTCCTTTGCACAGACAGAGGATTACATGATCTGTAGTCTGCCTGATGTGCAGTAAAGCTAACACTGTGATTTCACCTCAGGATTGCTGTACCTTTTTCTACTTCTTTTCTTCCGGGCACCTCTTACACACTGTGGTAGCTCATAAACAAATACAGAGCTTGGCTCTGCAGTTGATCTAAAGCTTTACTGTTTTTAAGTTAAATAATTTTTCCTGTGGAGTAGGCATAAGCCACCCTTGTTTGCAACAAGTTTATTCTTGGAATTTTTGTTGATATAAAGAAATTAAATGCTCTGAGGGTTCTTTAGTAATCTTTTATATCAAAAACAAGCATGTCATCTAGGAGTTACTCTTATGCTAAATGCAAAAGGAGGACAGAAAGCCGCCATGCCAAGCTAGATAAATTAATCTAGTACTACCGTGTTACTTAGCTATTCACTATTCACTAGTTCACTATTTTCTTTTATCAGTTGCAAAAATCAAAAGACTAACCTTTAAAGGCAAAGAATCCTCTTCATCAGAATCTTTGAACTCAATGCATACTGCAATATTTCTAGCCTAAAGCAGTATTCAAAAACAAAAACCCAACACTTAATCGTAAGGATCATCACAGAAATATAATATGTAAACAATCTTAACCAAACCTAAGAAAGAAGGATGTACAGTTTTCCCGTACTCACCTTTGCAAAAGACTTTTGACTGTCATATTTCAAGTGCTTTGGATAAACATAAAGATGATTGTTGTAGATGGTGAAAGGCTGAGTGTGTTTTGGTATACAGGGTACAAATTCCTCTATTTCAAACGTTATTAGTGTCTTGGTACTGTTTTCAAACTGTTTCATGGGAATGTATGATGAGTTAACATAATCTGAAAATACATAAAAAACCAATAAAAAACTGAAGAGAAAAAGCCTGAATGTCCATTTAACAGTGTTTATTAATACTTACTTGGAAAATCTGTTGACACATTATCAATTGTAACATCCAGATTTCCTAAAATAACAGGAAGTTTGGCCATCTTTTCAGGTCTATAGGAAGGAAAAAAAACTCAAAGTCAGGCTAAATGCAAAACTATCAGATGCCAGAGAAAAGAGATAATAGGAAACAGAGACAAAAGTAATATCCTGAAACAGTAGTATGAGAGGAAAGGTGGTTTGGGAGTGGATGACTGATCTGGTCTTGCTTTTTGCCTAGATTCAGTTTTCTTCTTTAAATTCTCAAAAAAAAAAAGTAAGGCTTTGTTCACAAGTGTGGAAAAGGTTAAGAAAAAGCATGATGTTTTTCTTTCTTTAAATCAAAATTAAAAACCATGTTAAAGATAGATTTTGTTTGCCATGTAATAACTCACTATCATTTGCAGCAAAGAGGGGAGCTATAAGTAAGCTTTTTAAATCTCAATAGCCAGTGACAAGCATTTATGGTAATGGAGTAAACTTGGAGCAAAATGGAGCAAAGGGGAGAGAAATCAGTAAGCTAACAAAATGCATCTTCTACTCAGTAATTTTTTTCCTACCTCCTCCTTTTTCTAGAGTAATAACTCACCCTGCAAAATATTTACTATTAACTAGCCTACTATGAAATTTCTTAGATGTTATCATGTAGCTAATTCAGAAATACGATTTGAAGTAAGAGTATTTTCCATGTTAACACACTAGTGCAGAACCCTTTATTAGTAAAGACAGTCAGCAGCATGATTGTTTTTAATTATTGCAGAGGAAGTGGATGCAAAATTTTCCCAAAATGCAATCGCATGCTGTGAAGCAAACAACTTTTCCTGGTTGGAGTCTGGATTCTAATTCCAGTAGCTAAGCGGTAGATATTACAATCTCTTTCTTACTAAAATTCCCGTGAAATACTGTACACGATTCCACAAACAGGATGCTGAAATAACCAAAAGCATTCACTTAATTCACAAAGTAAAGTGATGTCGCAGGCTAATTTACTATATTAGTTTCAGTTTCAATAATATTGTTTATGGCAAGAAGCATCAGTACACAGCAATTTCAATGCTATGTAAACTTCAATGAAACTGTAAGCAGCTTGCTAAAATGGAATTAAAATATTTATTACAAACCTCATCTCCTTATCAGATTTGGTAAGCAAGAATAGAATAAAGAAACTATACCCAAACCTTTTGCGATTGGCGATTGTTCAAATTAATACAACTCCAGCTAACCCTACCATAACAGAAGTGGAAAAGCCTTTGCGAAGCAGCAAAGACTGCTCTATTATTTTACATCTTATTTAATATGAAAGGGGATTAAAACTAGTTTATTAATAGGGTCATCTGTCAGTAGGAGATTCGTAAGTCTTGCACACAAACGATGCAGTCTTTAGGAATACCTTGTAAAAAAGGATGACCAATGTTCTGTTATTTAGGCATCCTAAACCACAGGCACTCCCAAGGAAGGTGGACTGGATACTGGCTTGAATCCCTTTCCCTGAGAGCTAGCATTCTCTGTCCAAGGTCAGTGAACACATGACTTATGCTCATCCTTGTTTTCCTTTCAGAACCAGAAGAATGTATTGTGCAAGCATAACTCCTAACACAGAGCTACTTCAGGATATGATGCTTACTACACGGTAGACATGGCATAATACTTCAGTCCTACTTGTAGCCCCCAAACACTGCAAAGAAAAGATCTGTAGCTTGTATGAAGGCCTTGATCATATTTATACAACTTCTATATTTGAAGTGAAGAACATAGAAACACATACATCAAAAAGATTAGCTGCTCCAGTTCAAGACCATAACAAAAAGTGGTGGGGCTTGGCGGGGGGCAGGAAGGTAGGGGGTGTTAGGTTGTGCTTGGTTTGTTTGGTTTTGTTTTTTAAAGTGAGGAAATTAGACTTACTTCCTGAAATCTGCTAACAATTTCAGCATGTCTTCATTTGAAAGTTTATTACTGTCTTGTCTGAAGAGAGGAGAAAATCTTGCATTTTTGTCCAGAGTTCCTGAGGCATCTTTAAACAGCGTCCTGAAAGTCAAAATCTTGCTTTCAGCTGAGTTTATGAAAGTGTTGAAATTCACTTCAAGAAATTTCTTTACTACAAATTAGAACATACTGCATCATCCTTCATATTAAGCATTTAATACTCTTGTCACTGTAGGTGAGTTTTAACATATAAATAGCTCAGTCTAAGAAGTCAAGTGTGAACCATTTCATTCTTAGTAAAATAAAAAATATTGAGAACAGAAAACAGTTGGCAATATTCAATGGTTTGAATAATAATATAATGAACGTTTGTAACTTTTTTTCCTACTACAGAGCTGAAATGTAAGTTTGTCAGAAATTTTTGGTTAATTGAAAGTAAAACAAGAAATAATTTAAATAGAACATTAAGTTTTACAAGAAGCAAGATGCAGAAAATAGTGTTAAAGAAAAGTTAGGAAAAAACACAGATTGATGAGATCTGTCCCTACCTAGCTGCCCAGGCAAAAGGCATTCTATATTGACCTAATCTCTGGCATGCCTGCTTAGCGTTCTTCAAAACTTTCTGTGCAACCTGCAAGGAACATAAGAAATAGCCACATTTGAAAAGCTACATTTTTTGCACCGTTAGTACACAAGAAGAAACCACATATTGACACTGATATGAATTGGAAATTCTTCTTTAGAAAGTTAATCCTAAGTATGCAAGTGAAAGACAAATGAAAATACCTTTTAACAATTCATTTCAGGTTAAGCAAGGCCTGCTGATTTCACAGCATTTCATGGGTGAAAACACAGACCCATCTACACTCCCGATAATACATATTTAATTAAGCAAGAAAAAAATTATGATATATACAACAGTCATACGAAAGCTAGAGCAAAATTCAACTGCTTTTTAAGACAAAATTGTGACCCCAGATAAAAACCATTTCCCCCACCACTTGCTGCCCTATTCACCACCCACTCTATGTACCGGAACACATTCCTACAGAGTAAATAGTAAAATACTCTGCAATACTTGCATTACAAGTACACACAGAATACGGGAAGGAATTGTATGAAGATCACATGGACGATCCTATGTATGGACACTGCAACATTACTTTCATTAAAACTTTAAATTTTTGGTTTTGTTAACTATTAAGTGAACAAACAACTCCATTATACAGAACCAACACGTATAACAATCAGAGCTAGAAACCCACTAGTTTGAGATGTTTAACACCGAGCTGAACCACTTGAGCTAAAGCAGAAGCTCCTGACAGAGCAGTGGGCTTCTCTTTTCCAGCAACCAGCTTCTCTTGTGTGCCTATGCAGAGCAAAATTATTTGCCAGAGGCAAAAAACCACAGAGTAAACCTGCCTGAACATTATCCCTGATCTATGCTGTTGACATTATAAAGAGCTGTTTCTATTAGTGTGTTGTTTGAGCCAACTCTCCATTATCCTTTCCTGTAAAAAGGGGGAAATTGCACTCAGAAGCATAGAACCTTGGTAAGTAATCATCATTAATTCACTGTATTCAATGTTTAAGGGGAGAAGTGATCTCTTGGCTATAGAATTTGCTGCTTCCGTTTTCCCTTTTTCTTGTCCAGAGCAGCAATTCTCCAAGAACTGGAACTTGCTCATTGCACTGACACACATGGAGGCCTATATAGCTGGTACTGTTCTGTTTTGTTTCAAATTAATACGGTGTAATCCCAGAGAACAAGAACAGAAACAAATTCAAACTAAGTGTTCAATTGTATAAAATTACAAGCAAATAAATACCAGAAATGCACAGCATAAGTTAATATAACCATGAATGTTCCTATTGGCTACTCCTGCAGTACAGGGCAACACAAGTCTAGCACTCAGCATCAAATTTGGGAATACTTCCCATGTGGCTCAGGCCCAAGACCACCAAAATCAGTTACTCAGTTCAGGTTTGTTTTAACTCAGTAAGAGTCAGCATACACTTCAAAACCAGACTCCTAAAATACAAAGCTGCTGTTCTCCAATGATAGCTGAAAAAAAAAAAAAATCCCAAGTATTCTTGGAAAAGCAAATCAGTAGTCTGATCTATATTAAGACAAACTGAAAAATACAGGTTTTTTACATGTAGCTTAGCCAGCATTAAATCAGTAGCAAAGAACACTGTTCCTCTGCAGAGACTGAAAGTTAACCCTTCCTTCTTCCCTTTCACTAGCTGAAAACAGGAAGAATGTCAACAGTAGCTGACATTGCTTACAAAAAAAACTTTTCTCCTAGTATCCTGGTCCAACTATTAAAGCACAACTGTAAATCAACAAAATTAAAACTCTGTTTCTTCAGCAACAAACAAGAAGCAGCAACTGACAAAGCTTCTTGTAGGTATGTTTCAGAAAACATTAAAATGTTGTCATCCTAGACTCCTGCAAACTTAAGATGTTTCAGTGGTTTATTTCCAAAAGTGATTTGGAGTTCTATCAAATCTACAAAGTATTTTATACATAAAAAGAGTCTTAATGATCTCAATGGTTCTGAAGTAAAAAACAGCAAGAATGCAGGTAAAGTTATAGTAAACTATGGTCACCAAAAAGTAAGACAAAGGAAAAGTCAACAACAATGATACAGTAAATAAGATGCATTAACTAAGAGACATACAGTTAATTTCTGACCTATATTTAATACTTCATTGTTCAACAATTTTCAACTCAACTTTCACATTGAAGTCTAATACTCTTTTGTCAAACCAGTTTATTTAGAGCCATTATAAAAATTATAGATTATGTCACGATTAGAAAAAGCTAAATAAATGTTTCCTAATTATATGTTAGACTATCTATAATGTTTCAGTAAGTTACTAGTAGTAACTACAACTTACTAAATCAAATCATCCAGTTATTTGAATTTCCTATAAAAGAACTAAGTTTTTGACATTTATTAATTTGAAATCAACCTGTCTTGCCTCAGCGTTTTTTCCATGCCACAGAAGAAGATAACATACCTTTGAAGAATCTGAACTTTTCATATATGGTTCAGCACAATGTGTAATGCTTCCCTGTAATACTTTTTCTATTCTAGCCACAAGGAAAATGTCAGTATGAGGACATGTGACTGAGAATATTCCCTAGAAATAAAACAAGAGGTAAACATAAAAGGAAAATGCACACACATTTTACAACACATAATAGAAAGCCATCCGAAGCATGCAGGAAAACTCTCTACTTGTATCCAAAAATTCTACTAATTCTTTAGGTTACTAGTTCTTACCTGCTTTGGATATTGTAACACAGTTTCATGAATGTCTTGAATTCTGTGTAAGCTGTCACCACTGCCATTCATCATTTGTTGAGATGCATTGGATATCATGTGCCTTACTGAGGCATGGTTCAAATCAACATGGAAATCTGCTGAAATCTTCCGGTTGTTTTTAATATCAAATAGTGATAATGTGACAAAGAAAGGTTCTACCTACACATTTAAAAAAAAGAATCAAGTGTCATTGCTGGCATCTATATTACTGTAGAAATGTGTATGAAAGGAAAATGAGTAACATTTTTATAAACAGTTACACACAGCCATCACTCTAGATATTACTGACAACATGTAAAAGACAGTAAAAGAACAATTCCACTTTCTACAACACAACAAAAAGATTAGTAGCAAAGTTACTTTTTGTAGGATTTAGGCTCTCATTTGGATTTAAAGGAGTAGAAAAAAACCCCACAATACATGTTTCTCAATCATAACTAGGAATTCCTGCCATTAAGAATAGTGCCAACAAAGTATTAAGACATTCATTACCATATTAACAGAAAATAATTAGATGAATTATTTACATTTGTCGTTGGTCCCTCTTCATTTTCTGCAACGCAGCTTTGCAAATTAAAAGATAAATCGTTACACTTCACAAGAATTTTTTTTCCAAATTTCTCTTCAAATGGCTTCACTTCTGGTTCAATACCAGAAAAGTCAAGTTTCTTTAAAAAGAGAAAAGAAAAATTAAGGCAAGTTGTTTTTCATCTCAAAAGGATCAACATAAAAGAAAATAACATGCTTCCTTGTAAAAAGTCTAACCTGTGCATCTGGATCCAAGGCAAAAAGTTTAACTCTGCTTTCACTTTTCAACTTGATTTCTGCTTCTCTGGTACTCTGTTCAAAATATTAAAAAAAAAAAGTCTTAGAATCACACGATTAAATTAAAGTGGTTTTCAATTTCATTCTTTTTTCTGTGATGTTCAAAGCTTTACATGTTTTTAATTCATGCACTCTTCTCTCCCTAACTGAGCTTTGCAACTTCTTAGTTTAAATTGCTCCATCATGTTCAAGTAAAAAGTGAGAGAAGACTCCTCTCTTCTAAAGGCTTTTCCAGGCCTAGAAGCACAAAAACTTATATCAGCAACATGTAACCTTCCAAGCTCATGGAAAGCATACTCCAGTGTAGCTCATACAGCACTTTGCCTCCTTAAACAATAACTTTCATAACATTATTTTAATTTAAAAAAAAGTATGAACGTAGGTTAAAGCTCAGAGCTATCCTGAGACCATAAGATTGCTCAGGAAACAACAGGTTACCTAAATTAAGAAACACCATCATAGCTTGCTTGCTTTTTTCTTTTTTTTCTTTTTTTCTTTTCTTGAGCTCTACTGCCAAAGAGGTGGTTTTCCTGTGGGTAGATGAAAAAACCCCCAAAACTTCCAAAAGATAAAACCCTCACACTTAAAAGTTACTTTGCAGAGTACACTGTACACTGATCCTGCCTGGGATTTGTGGATACCTACCTATTAACAGTAAAACAAAAGTAAAGTGGAACAAAATAGAATGTGAAAACTGATGGTATACATAGGTTACTTTTAAAAAAAAAGGTATTATTTAAAGAGTATTCTATGATTTTTAAAGTCACAGGACATAACAAATGGATGTATGCCTGCGCCAAAATTACCCGCGTAGGAGAGTTGCCATTCCCAAAGTAGTAGCTGGCTAAACAGGGATACAAAGTATTACATTACGGACAGGTGTCTAATTTTGGATCAGCCTGTATGGGTTAAAAGAAGCTACCAACCCAAAATGCCCAACACTGACCATCAGCTGAAGTCATCTACTGCCTACATCTGCTTTGCTAAAGGTTGAAGGAACTCCTACTATGTCTCAAGAAAAAGAAAAAAAAAACCCAACAAACCAAAAAAACATCAGCTCTAAGAGCTCAAAATTCTATTTTAGGTTGATAGTAATAATAAAGAAAGAATTTGACTTAAATGATGCATTACAGAAGAGGAACTTCTGAGGTGTGATTTTGAGTACAGATGCTGTAATGGATTTCATCTACTTTACTTCATTCTCTTACACACACACAGGAGAAAAGACAAGAGTTGCTCTGAAAGACACCATCCAGACACTCGATACCAGCAGACTATTGGCAGACTTTGCTTGTTCAACAGCCGGCATGATTTGAGAAATACAGGACTAAACTGTGAAGAAGTTTAAAGATGGCAAGAAGGTTGCATGTATGTTTTGGAAAGGGAATCGTCAGTGGCAAGAACTGAAGAGGAACATGATCTAGTCATAGGAGCAAGACAGAAACTATTTCAGCTGAAGCATCTTGAATAGTTTTAGATTCTTTGGTGTTTTGTGCACTAAAGACAAGACAAAAAATATGCATTTTTGACTGACAGATCAAGGGCAGTCGGTCAGAAGTCAAGAACTGAAAATGCATGTAGTCATCAACCCTGTCTACAGTATGGCAGTGACTGTAATTCCATTTCCTCATCTGTAAAACAGGGACAATGTTTTCCTACCTCAAGGAATACTGGGACCCATAACGGTTAAGGAGGTACTTGGGCACACTGATCATGACAGTCACATCGTTATTTAAGATGGAGGTCTAATTTGTTTCCTCTGAAGATTAAAAAAACAACAAAACAACCAACAAAAAACCTACATTCACTCTTGGTATTTAAGTTACAGATAAAAGGAACATGAAGTAGGCAGGACAGACAGACAGAGATATATGCGTGCGCATTTGTGCACTGAAGTGCACAATACCATCTTATATATTTTATGTTATAAACTAACAGCTGTTGATAGAAAAATGAAGGCTTGGAGATGTACTCACAAGGGTTAAACCTTTCCTAGGAAGACTGTTTTTTTCCCCTATTGTCAGGTGCTCTACAATCACCCCTGAAGGAATTTCTCTTTCCTCATAAGGATATGAGGTCAGCTATTGTGAAAATCTCCTCCTAGAACCAACAAAAATAATAGAGCAGCTATAAACTCTTCTAAAAGAAGGCTCAATACCTTGTAAGTCTTTCACTGGGAAAAAAGAACCAAATCCAAACCCAAATAACAGCTGAAAAGACAATGCAAGAAAGAATAGAGGACAAAAAAATCCTCAAAACAAACAGCATTTATATAAAATAATCAAGTTAAGGCAGAAACAGTGTACGAATGCAAATGGGCAGATTTTTCCCTGTACTTCTCCTCAGGGAAAAAAGGCTAGAAAAACACATTAATTTTGAAAGGTAGTGTTTAGTAAAGATGAACTAGAATGGGAAAACCAAAAAACTTATTTTGAAGGAAACAGAAATTTAAAGGGGTTATAACCATGGAATAAAAAAAGCCAGTGCTTAAAACGCTGAGAAAAATAACACACTAGAAGAATACCTAGCTTAAAGAGCTGCGTGCTTCCGATCAGAAGGTTATGGAAACAGGAAGCAGCATTTGTAGTACTAAAACTATATGCAGGTGCTGCAGCCCTGAATAAGAGTCCCCTCTGGAAGTCATATGGAACCTAGACATTCCAATAACTCTGACTATAAAGAAAGAAAAATCTTCCATACAATAAGAGCATCTAATTTTCTATTTGTTTCCAAAATAAATTTTCATAGCCTCATGTAAGTGTGCTGTTTGATGCTTACAGCTCTTCCAAGGAAAACTTGATTGTATGCACCACAGTCCCAATTAATTTCCAAATACAGCCATAGCTGGAGTTAGATTATCACGTAACAGCTTTTCGTGTACATGTGCTAAGTTGATTACAAAGCAGTAACAGAAAGAATTAAGCCAACCAACCAATTTGGGTGCTTAAAGCCCGTTAATGTATTCTGACTGGACCTTTTGAGATGTTACCTATTGTAATAGACAAAATTTGTTTTACTGCTTGTCCTCAGTTTATAAGCTGCACACCCATCAGGAGTAGTTACTAGGTCAGACAGATTCTCAGAAAAGAAGGGGAGAGCATTCCAGAGCATGGTCAAGCAGAAAAAGTTTCAAGACTGCAGGCTGTGCCACACAGAAGAAAGAGTAAGGAAGTCACAGGAAGGAGTTTGGATTCTCCAACTTCAATAGAAAAAGGTCACCAGTTCCAGTCCTTAGGTGATTTAACAAAAATTTCTCCCTTACAGAACTCACAAAACTTATTGCAACACACAAGTCACTGATTTAACTGAAATAAAGTCTGCAAATGGGCTGAGGAAGAGTTACTGTTTTTTTTCTATTTATTTCTATTTTATTTTATTCTTATTTCTATTTCTACCACACCTCTGTAAGAACAAAATTGAAAAGCAAGAACTATGGCAATACAGGAAGTATCCATGAACTTGCCAGCTCATTACAGACACAAGCATCTTAAAATACATTCACATCATCACTGCTATTAAGCTCCTCTAGACTTCTAACTCTAAAAACAAAACTTCACTTTAGTATAAAAATAGATTTCTACAGAAATACTTTAGCACTTACCTGCATGCAATAAAACAATACAAAATATGCAAAATACAATAAACTAATAAAATAATAAAACATGCTGCTTTTAAACAGCATGTCAAGATTTATATAAGCAACTTTAAGACAGTAGCTAGTTTGCTTCCAAAAGCAGAAAATGCTCAATAACCACATCTATTCACGAAAGAGCTTCTGAGCTTTCAAAGCACCACAAACAGACTGGAAGTTAGAAGCCAATACCTTACCTTTACTGAAAGTTCATGTGGCTAACTTACGTTTACTACTTTGTATCCTAAATTGGCATTTACAATATATATTACCTTGGCAATTTCAGGATAGTAGTTATCAAAACTACTTGATGAGCTTTCCATTTTGCTTTGTTCATCATCTGAAATTATAAAACCACATTAAAAAAAATTAAAAATGCCAAACAAGCAAAAAACCCCAAACTATTCACAAAACTCCATGTCAAAATATTTTTGGTTTGGTTTGGTTTGGGGGGGGGGGTTTTTGGGTTTGTTTTTTTTTTTTTTAACTCCTACCCCCCTCAAAAATGACAATTGTTAACATAAACAGGTTGTGGACAACTCCATCATTTCATTTTGATGCAGTGACTTCTTGGAGGATGTAACCAGTTACAGAAATTGGTAAAGTAGCAGTTATTTCTAATCTTACCTAGCAAATAGCTTTAATATTAATTTTGACATCTGCATGGGGAAAGGGGATACTCAATGCACAAATTTACATTACTCTTTCCAATATGCATTGTATCTTGATTTCCAAACCAGTTCCCTCTGTTCATTAGGTTCCCAGCTCTACTCTCCAACGGTTACTGGATTTACAAAGCAACCATTCAGTTAGCTATAAGCATCTTATAGTTCCAAGGTCAATTGGGACCACTGACTAAAATGTCTTTCACAGAGCTACAGGGTTCTTTTTCTGATTTGCTTTTTCTGCAAACATCGTGTTAAATTCCGGCAATCTTCACCAAAGACTGTGATATCTCATTTTAAACTCTAATGGTCTCTTCTGGTATATTGTGCTATTTATAAGCAGAACAACTTTCTATAAGTACTTCCAGGTTCTTCTGGATATGCATACACTTGGTCTCATACCAATTGCCTTCCCCATCCACTCTCAAGAGGAAAAAATGCACGAGAGGACATCTAGTCTATCCTTTTGTCACCAAATTATCAACTATACCTACATCACATTCCTTACAGATATCTGCCTTACCTATTCTTAAAGGGCTCCAACAGAAAAGATTCTACACCCAAGCAATCTATTTCAGTACTTTAGGGAAATATTTGTGGTCAAGGGAGTTACATCTAAATTTAAGTCCCTCACTGCAACCACAATTTCTTAGTCTTCTACCTACAGTGACCACAGAACAGATTATTCTATTTTCAGCAGCATTTTACACATTTCAAAACAAGTCCCTCCTAAGTTTTCTCTTTTCCTTAAACTGCTTTGGTCCTGATTTTTCATTGTGTGTTCTATTTTTCTAGACTTCTGATCAGTCTCATTATTCTCTTCTGGACTTAACTCAATCAGAATCAATGTAGAACGGTGCTATTTTAGTGCCAAAAGGTCAAAAGTTTCATGAGTTCAAACAGACAGTGAAAAAGCCTATAATTTTTATGACCAAAGAAAAAAAACAAATTAGCCACAATAAAGCCTTTCCAAATGCACGTACATAGACATTGTCACATAACTGTATTAGCATTGCTAGAAACCCTGCTTACCTTCGTGAGACTCTCCATTTCTTTTTTCTTGCATTGCAGCCTCAAAGTTAAGCTGAAGAATTTTGTTCAGAGTGTTTATCCATTCTTCCATTTCAAGTTCACTATCTGCTGCTAAAAGGTAACTACTCTTGTCTTGCATCTTGAGCTCAAATGCAAAACGTCTGACTTTATTGTTCTATAAGAAAATAAAAGTTCTTTATAATATCTTTACATACTGTCTACTCACAACCAAAGGAAGTTATATGTATTTCAGATCTTTTAACAAAAGTATACAGTTTGATATTTTGAACAAGTGTATTATAATTACACTTATTCCTCTCTGACATTTGACCTTTTGAAGTTATTTGTACCACTGCAACAAGTGGAAGTATGAAAGATAACAGTCCATTTTTCAGTTTCCCCTCATCATTCTGTTTGTAATAATTTTAAAAAAAAAAAAAATCCAATTTCCAAATATCAAGTCTTCACGTACTCAGATCACCTAGAAGTGAAGCTAAATAAGATCTACTGATAAAAAAAAGCATGAAACTATTAATATTTGAGTGAGAATCACTTGCATGTTGAGATTTTATACCGGAGGTTAAATCATAACCAACCTCAACCCTGAATGCCCTGATATTGCTAGTCTTTTAAACATACATGAAGTTGGGAATCAATTCCTCCTTTGTTCCTCAACCATTACTGTCATCCTTTTTGCACAATTTAAGTCAAGGCTTCAAATGCCACCTAGCTTGACTCATGTTCCTGGGAATGAATTCACAAGTCTTAAATGAAAATTCTACATTATCATGAATTTAATTTAAAAAATTGATAACTCAGTAGATAAACATTAAATTAAACAATAAGACAGACTTAGTGTTTGGGGGATTTTTTGTTTGTCTGTTTTAAGTTAAATTAAATGCCAAATTACATTTCAGTTTCACTATACTTCAGGTTTTTCAATAAACAGACTAACTACTGGTTGGCAAAACAGTCAGCTTTCTACCAAAGATGAGTTTCTGTTAAGGAGGATACAAACAAATGTATGGACTCCAGATCTAAGGCAGTCTTACCAATTAAAATCAGTACTGAAGTAAATGAAAAAAATCTTAAGAACAGTAACCTTTAACTTCCACAGTATAAACCCTTGACACAGGTGGTACTTATCACACTTCTCAGTTTTCACAAATCACTGAATTAGAGCAACTCTGCCTATATATATATGACTGTATGTGTGAATATATACACTGCATATATTATGTGACTGCACTTCCCTGTGATGCAGAAAAGACTCAATATACTTCAGTATTAAAACAAAACAAAAAACCCAACAAAACAAAACCAAACCACCCCAAACAGTATTTTGGTAATTCCTGTCTTTTCATTTAACCTTTTTAGTTTTGGAGACAAAACAACAACAAAACCCAAACCAAAAGCAAACAAAAAACAACCAAAAAAACCTATTGCACATATTCGGCATTCCTCTTATACAACTACTGATGAAGGAGCATATGCTACTCTATTCTGCTTTATCTTTAATGTCTGTTGGTGGTCAGCATTTTCCTTTCCTATGCATCTACTGCCTTTGAAAAGTAAGTAAGCATAGGTACTAAATGAACTCAAAACAGAAATAAGAAATGTTATAAGAATGCAATGGGAACTAACCCCCCTTCACCAAAGACTTACTCTGAAACAAGTAGTTTGATTCTGAGAACAAAAGCTTGTAAGCGTGTCTACCTAAGAAGAGCAACCATTTCTACGCATTCCAAGTCAGACTACTGCAAAGTACAGTGGCTGGGGTCCTTACAATTTTTTATTTTATTTTCCTCTTCCATTAAATGGAAATGCAATTTCTACAGTGTAGACACCACTTTTTTTCCCATATGAACTTCTAGATGCTAATACAACACCAATAATAAGTAACAGTAAGACAATGAATAAAGTCAGATCAGCCAGAAAGGATACAGTACATAATATAAAATAATAAAATCACACATCTGGAATAGGGCCATTATGCATAATATTTTATAGTTCAAAATCTCATTTACTTGCCCCTCACCAACAATTCAAGTGAAGAAAATAGCTATTTCCAAACCCCTTTATTCCAGCCATTGAATGGCTTCTTGGTTTCACAGAAGTGAGCATTGACTGATTTTGGTTTTGCACCTGATGTTGATCCATAACCAGTCTCAAATTTCTACATGCAGTTCTGAACATCCAGATGCCAAGATGAACACTGATGGTACTGTAGAATACAGTATAGCATTCAAGACACAAGCCAACTATAAACTTTAAGCATCCGAAGTACAGTTTTACTTAAAGACTACTGTATCAGCCCAAAACCTTACTTGCAGTAGAACAAAGGAACAGTAATAAAAAAAAAAATAGAAAGCTTCTGACAGAGTCTGAGAAGATTTCAGGTTACTTGAATTGAACTGATGGAACAGAAAGTATGGAACAGTACTTTATGAAAAGATGATTTAGAAAAAAGGGGATTTTCATGATAAAAACCCAAAAACATAGAATCACAGAATGGTTAGAGGTTGGAAGGGTCCTCTGGAAGTCATCTAGTCCAACCTCCTTGCTCAAGCAGGGATGCCTAGAGCTAGTTGGCCCAGGACCATGTCCAGGCAGCTTTTGAGTATCTCCAAGGATGGAGACTCCACAACCTCCATGGGCAACCTGTGCCAGTGCTCGGTCACCCTCACAGTGACAAAGTGTTTCCTGATGTTCAGAGGGAACCTCCTGTGTTTCAGTTTGTGCCCATTGCCTCTGGTCCTGTCACTGGGCAACACTGAGCAGAGCCTGGCTCTGTCCTCTTTGCACCCTCCCTTCAGGTATTTATAAACATTGATGAGATCCTCCTGAGCTTTCTCTGCTCCAGGCTGAAGTGTCCCACCTCTCTCAGCCTCTCCTCATAGGAGACATACTCCATCCTCCATCCCTTCATCATCTTCATAGCCCTTCGCTGGACTCTCTCCAGTATGTCCCTGTCTCTACTGGGGAGCCCAGACCAGGACACAGGACTCCAGGTGTGGCCTCACCAGTGCTATTCAGCTGTACAGAGGGGAAGGATCACCTCCCTTGAGGTGCTGACAACACTCCCCCTAGTGCAGCCCAGGAGACCATTAGCCTTCTTTGCAGCAAGGGCACATTGCTGGCTCGTGTTCAACTTGGTGTCCACCGGGACCCACAGGTCTTTTTCTGCCAACTTCTTTGCAGCTGGGTGGCCTGTCCAGCCTGTACCGGTGCCTGGGGTTGTTCTCCCCAGCTGCAGGACTTAGCACTTCCCTTTGCTGTAGTGCCTTTCTTTCATTTGTAACTTCTCAAAATCTCAATGTTTTCTGATGATGTAAACTAATATTGTAGTGCTCACAATAGTCTGCACCAGAGCCACAGGCTGAGAACCAGAAACAAGCCATCGCTTAAATAGGGAACAAAAGGGGCCAGAAACAGCCCAGAAGATGGAGAATATATATTATCAGAGAGGAGCGCCAAAGCAGAGGAAGCTGAGGAGCAGAAGGAAAGATACATTTTAAGTGCAAGACAAAGACTACAACTGTGTTTAGTAACCACTTTTTGTTTGTTGGTTTGTTTCAAAAACACAAATCAAACTCATTTCAGTGGAGTTGGCCAGAATCGTACCCCTAAGGCAAAACAATTTGTGTAAATCTGTATATAGAACTTGTAATATGATTAAATTTATTACAGTTGTAAGACTTTCCATGCGAAGTATCTATTAAATGTGTATCCAAAAACATTATTACAATATTTGGAAAAAAATAATCCTCTGTAAAGCTGTTGTATCTCTCTGTATAAATCTTCAAACAACTTTATACTAAAAAAAAATATTATTTTAGAAACACATTTTTATTAAACTGCGCTTATTTCTATCCAAGTTAACAAAACCCTAAAACCCAAGAGTTTTTTCCAGGTATGCTGTGCCTAACAAAACAGTTACATGCTGTACTGTAAATACATAACAGAATCACAAGGAAAAAAAAATAATCTTTTCCTTGGCACTTGCTACTAACAAACATTTTACCAAAGCCCTTAACTTTTTAAAATAAAGGAAAGCACATAAAAGTAACATTATAAAGGTCAAATGAAAGCATCTGGAAGGGTGACTGAATTTAATACAATTCCCACAACAAAAATCCCACACAAGAAGCTATGCAAAACCTTTTACAGCTCGTGTAAGCACAAAATGTAACTGAAATGAACTTTAATTTTATGCTGTCATTACTTTGCCATGATTTAAGGTTGGGGGTTTTTGTGTGTTTGTCTTAAAATTTTGTTTGATGTTTTTGATAAATACTTGACATCAACTAGTAATTTATGTTCTTTTCAGAAAGATTTTTAAAATTCAGCCTCCTCCCCCTCAAAATCTCATTCATTGTTTTTGCAAGATGCAGCGTGTCTAATCGTTCCTCTGCATAATAGGTACTTATCTACATCTGACAAAAGTTATCTGTATTTTTTAAAAATCCATTTGCTATCAAATAAAGAATTATCTGGAGAACAGGCAGAATAATTACAATTACCTGAACCACTCCCATGCATGAATCTAGAAATATTGATCCTTTAGGTTCTTTTGATATTTTTTCATCTTTGTAGAAATTGAGATTATAGGATCCATCACCAAGTTGGATTAAGTGGAAAAATCTTCTTTTAAACGACTAGTGAAAAGAAAGGAGAAAAGAAAAACAATTGCAACACTAGTGTTAATCAGCTTCATATTACAAAACCCAATCGTGCTATTTACACAGTAGGTTATAGAAAAAAAGCTTTTATTTACACACAACCTAATCACTATCCTCAGAAAATAAACCAGAAATCATTAATTTTTTTTTTTAATTTTAACTTAAAATCCTGCAGCAAGATTGTACTATATTATTTGAAAGTATTTTTTACCCATTGAAAGGTATTTAAAACTGACTCTGCAATATTACACATAATAGATATTTATTATGATAACTGTAAAAATAACAAGTTTGTTTCTAAATAAAGAGGCAATACAAATAAAAACTCATATTACATAGTCCCTTTTCTACTAATAGCACACCAGGGTCCAGTTAAGAAAATTAGTTAAAACACTGGCCTTCTCCCACATACTGGATTTTTAATACATTTTTTTCTGATTTAAGTAGAATGAAAGGAAAGTAAGATTTCACAGATATAAATTACATACAAGCTTTCCTCTTTCATCCCACACTTTTTTTTTTTTTTAAGAAGTAAACCATATAAAAATTGGCTTCTCAAAGGCACAGTGATATTTAATATTGGTGTTCAGTTTTTACCACACGTAAGATTCTTAAACTTACTCTCATTGTCACACTGATTGCACTATTCATGTTGCCTTTGTACAGCCATCCTTGTTTTGTTATTCCACCCTTCTGAGACCCAAGAGATGCTGCATCCTGGAGATGAAAGGGAAGAATGGAAGAAAGGGAGATGGGGGGGGGGGGGAGGTTTTCTGAAACTGTTGTATTTATTAAATATTTCAGAAGTCATTTTTAAAAGATGGAATAGCTATGCTCATAATGTAATGATAATAATGTACTATGAGTCCCTGCTGAAATTCTATAGCTTTCTAATTCCAATTATTTTATTTAGAGACCAGGGATGAGATTGACCTCATCTAACTTTTGACAGGTAACTTGTATAGGCTTTCTCTATAGCCAGCAGGATGATCCAACTTCTCGATAGCTAAATATTAGTCTAGATAAATTCCACTGAAATAGGGGAAAGAGGGAAAACTCAAAACATTTACTTACATTTACTTCGTAAGCTTTTTCATATTCTAATTTTCCAGTGCAAGAATTTTTACCAATTTCTATTACCAAAAAGAACAATGTAAACTCATGCTTATCCAAAACTTCAATGGAGATTTCTCAAACTGTTTTGCTTTATATGTATTACTTCAGAGAAAATACTTAAGAATTTACAGAGAACTAAGACTTAAATTCTTGAATTGGATCTGCCCTTTTACAGATCAGAATCAAAGCTTTCTAAAGAAAACAAGACCAAACTTGGCAGTAACGGCAAGTTCACAAACAGCAGATCCAATGCATGCATCACACATCACACCCACTGCCTGTATACCGCTTCCATCTGCCAGTTGATGGAACTTATTAAACTACATCAAAACCCACAGGATATTAACAACTACCAAAAAGCAGTACTCTACTATCAAAACTGATCAAAATGACAGATTTATAATTGCCACAGAATAAATATTAAGTCATCAGTTCAAGTAATCTTTTAGAGCAGTACCAAGGTTCACCATGGTTTCCAGTTGACGTAACCCGTTTTGACACAACAAAAACCATTAATGAATTAGACGTGTAGGAAGATATTTAACCATCTAGAGGAGAAGTACTCCTGATAATTTATTATCCAAACATTCAAAATTAACTGAGTATCCAGTTGAAAACAAAACCACAAAACTTCCTCAAGTGCCTCAACTACTTTTTCTAATTCCTTTTCTCAGCTATTAAGAGAACATACAACAAAAAGTGATTACATATGGGGGACAGAGTCATTAGTTCAACAACTGAACATTAAAACCAAATTTTGGAATAATATTAATTAATTTCTGGAACTAAATCAAGGAACATGCTGTAAAAAGTTACTGGTTAATTTATTTACAGCTTATTTAGTCTGTCTAGCTTGCATATTCATAGGCATACGCACATGTGAACTTCAAAAAACTGCAAACAGAAGGCAAAAGATGCATCAATCTGTTCCTTCAAAAATTCTAGGCAGGTTGATACTATGGAAGTTAGGCCCAGTAAGGATGACATGGTCAGCAACTATCAGTGCATCTGATACAATGCCCCAGAAGCATAGACCAGAAATACTCAGTAAGTTTTCATATGCCCTGGTGAGTCTCACTGTCCAAGCAATACAGTCTACTTGTTTCATATTTTCAAGTCATTAGCCCCCACCTCTGTTCTATTACCTAGATAACCATTTTTCTTGTACAACAATCAAGATACAGAGACAACAACTTAAAACACTGGGTTTCCAACTATGATTCTCCACCTCCGCTGGTGGGAGTTATCCCCAAGGAAAGAATGGCTTAAAACCACCTTTACAAGGGTAAGATGATGAGTAGATGATGAGTTATTATCAAAGCTTGGCACAAAACAACCAATGCTTTCCTGTAATTTCACAAACCATACATAGGATCACCTGACACGACGAGAATTCCTTCATTACCTGTGTTAACAAAAATTAAGACTTAGCTCTATTAAGACTCTTTTTCCAATTCCAAGTCTCTGAGGTGCACTGTTTCCCAACTCTGTTGAGCTACATGCTGTTTTCTAACAATAAAACCGACTGTCAGTTGGGCCTCTCTAGTTAGACCATTTCTTTCTGTCAGGCAGAATTCCTGCCTACAGAGCCAAAAAGCTACTGAATCTTTCCAGCTGACCATCTGTTAATACAAAGGAACCCAGAACCCAGTTTTTAACACACGACTTTTACACTGAAAACATACTTCCTGTTTCCAAGTGGTAAGTTAATTTCCTCACTTTTATTACTACTGCTGCACACTGTGCTTCACGTTTTTTAATGATCTTTCCCACAAGCTCGGCTTCAAAATTTACTTCAACAGCAACTGTTTCAACAAAAACAATTCCTTATCTTGATCCCATACCCCAGGCTGATTTAAAAATTCCGTTTACAAACATCAACCTGATGGCCTGATAGCCCGAATTAGTTTTGGAAAGGTAATCCTCTCCTTTTTAAAGATGCAAGATTAAACTACTCTTTGTCTGGTTTTCCTCCAATTTTTAATCACTTGCAGCTTTTTGTTTTCTATCATTCTCTTAATAAATCATCTGTCTTAAAAAAAAAACCACACTGCTTTCCTGTAATTTCACAAACCATACATAGGATCACCTGACACGACGAGAATTCCTTCATTACCTGTGTTAACAAAAATTAAGACTTAGCTCTATTACGACTCTTTTTCCAATTCCAAGTCTCTGAGGTGCACTGTTTCCCAACTCTGTTGAGCTACATGCTGTTTTCTAACAATAAAACCGACTGTCAGTTGGGCCTCTCTAGTTAGACCATTTCTTTCTGTCAGGCAGAATTCCTGCCTACAGAGCCAAAAAGCTACTGAATCTTTCCAGCTGACCATCTGTTAATACAAAGGAACCCAGAACCCAGTTTTTAACACACGACTTTTACACTGAAAACATACTTCCTGTTTCCAAGTGGTAAGTTAATTTCCTCACTTTTATTACTACTGCTGCACACTGTGCTTCACGTTTTTTAATGATCTTTCCCACAAGCTCGGCTTCAAAATTTACTTCAACAGCAACTGTTTCAACAAAAACAATTCCTTATCTTGATCCCATACCCCAGGCTGATTTAAAAATTCCGTTTACAAACATCAACCTGATGGCCTGATAGCCCGAATTAGTTTTGGAAAGGTAATCCTCTCCTTTTTAAAGATGCAAGATTAAACTACTCTTTGTCTGGTTTTCCTCCAATTTTTAATCACTTGCAGCTTTTTGTTTTCTATCATTCTCTTAATAAATCATCTGTCTCTTAAAAAAAAAAAACCACACAAACAAAAGCAAAACAAAAAGACGACCAAACAACTTTTAATCTAAGATTTGCATATATGCTTTTTGGCATACAAAGATGTTAATGTTTGAAAGAAAAGCCTCTTGCATTAATTCTTCCCTTGAGGAAAGAATTTATGGTCCCCCCACCCTATTGCCATTAAGCTCCCTTTTCTTCCTAGCGTGCTTTTTCCTTGTGTTTATATTTTAAGTTCCTCAAAGAGTGGCAGACCTCTTCTCCAGTGACTGTGCCACTGAAAGAGATAGGACATTCCTGCCTGCTCTAACAGGAAATTGGGCAGAAGGAAACAGAAAGTCCTCTCCACTTATACTTCCTAATAAAACACATACCAAACAATAATAGCCAAGCTATAGTTTTTCAGTGTTTAACTAACTCTAGCCATAAGTATTTTTCTGAGTAACAATCACAGTCAGTTTTATCTCCATTTAATTTTTTTCATGTTTAACTCACTGTTTTCTAAAACACTTCTGTTGTCAGAAATATTATCACAGTAAATAATGTCAAGTCTTTTTAATTTCAGTATAATAGAAATCATAATTATTCCAATCTTACAAATAGGAAGATTTGGATACAGATGCATGCAATTATTTGTCCAAATGTCACAGTGCAGATTAATAGCAACGCAGGAGAAATGGCATCCTGAGACTATCTGTTCAGGAATCTACCTATTCAGATGCATTCCCTGAGCTACTTTTTCACATTTAATCCAGGAAAACTTGAAAGGAACTACTTTTATTTCATATGCAGCAGTTCTGAAAACAAGGAATTTAGAAGCAAAGTAACTGTCAAAGGGTAAAAACCACAAAAAATCATTTTATTTTAATTCTTTTCTGTGATGCAAGAGCTCAAGTACTCGTAAGAAAAGAAAACACTGGCATTTAAACAGTGTGTTTTCATAGAATCACAGAATGGTTTGAGTTGGAAGGGACCTTAAAGATCATCTAGTTCCAACCTCCCTGCCATGGGTAGGGACACCTTCCACTAGACCAGGTTGCTCAAAGCCCCATACAACCTGACCTTGAACACTTCCAGGGATGGGGCTTTTGAATGGGATGGGGGTTTTGAAACAGGGCGTGGTAAAAATTAAATAAATTACACAAATAACAGAAGCAGTTACTGAAAAAAGTCCTTGACATTTGAAACATACTTGAAAATTGCTTGAGGCTATAGATCTCTGGTTTCCCTAAGCCAATGACAAAAAAGAAAATACCTTGGAGTTTTAGTCAATTTTTTTAGCTTTCGTTTCCATAATGGATCTCCAGGTCTTATCCTATACTCAAATTTGTGACAAACTAATTTTAACTCACACCGTATGCTGTACTGTCATGCATGCTAAAGTGTGTGTACTGTCATGTTGGAACAATCACCTATGATTTTACTCAGCTTCGTGATTAAACTGCATGAAACATTTCTCTCTATATACCCGTCTACACAGAAACAGTGTAAGACAAGACAGATTTTATGAAAGCTGAAGGATTATATGTCACCAAGTATTAAAACTTCAATTTCACCATCTGTCAAAACTTGTTCTACTCACATGACAGATCTCAGGAGTACAAGGCTATTCAAAAGGAGATAGGTAAAATAACTACATTTGTTTCCCAATCAGGCTGTTCAAGCTAATCTCCGTTTTTATTTACTGACATCAACATTTAACCCAACTTGTAACCTCTCCTTACCCAAAATTCTTTACTGAAAGCAAGAGAAAGTAAGGAATTACTATTATCTCACCTCATCTTTATCTGCTTCTTCATCCACTTCATATAAATGAACTGGAAGCTTCTCTGATTTTGTCCCTTTGCTAGGAAAGAAAAAGCTTCTAAGATACTAGAAATTTTGTGATTAGTTACATATTTTACAGCTGCAAAAATAAAGATGTTATTTTCCTAACTGAAGAGGAAAAAGCACAAGAATAACTGAATAAAAGCATGTATTTTTCCTGAAACATATTTCTTAGTCAGCAATTTTCCTAATTTGCACGTCTGCCCACAGTCTTTCTTTTGTTCTGCTTGTCACTGTCCTTAGGTGTAACTGAAGAGAACCAAATGCCTTCTCATTCACTGCACTCCTAATACCTTAGGAGCAAGCATTCATACCTGTAACCATTGTCTCCTTTTAGGACAATGCGTTTATTTAAATTCCTATTGACTATCGTGGTTTCTGTTCAGGGCAAGTAAAAAACAGGTACTGACTTTTACAAAACCCGTGAGTATATCGGAACTTTTCACAGGGAAAGAAAGCTATTTCTTAACTGATAGATGCAGGAGAGTAGGTAGGGAAGACATAGATCTTGCAGAGTTGTGGGATTCAGAGTATTCAGCCACTCTCAGATATTTTAAGTTAAGGGCCTAATCTTTATACTCTCCCTACAAAATTTTGAAAAGGTTGGAAAAGATTTCTCTAGCAGATGGTTTAGAAAGTCTGTAGTAGATGTAGATTAGGCTCTTGCTTTGAATCATCCTGTGAAAATCTGCACTAGTTCAAACAATTGCTCTAACCATCTCGGTTAGGTTCTATTCCCTAAGCTCCTAAAGAGAGTTCCAAAAGCTGCCTTTGAAGCTACAAAAACAGGATATCACCATTTTAGTTTCATCTAAACATTAGCCTGGTTTAGTTACCATACTTACATTCACATTGTCAATGATACAATTTCTTGTTTTGACCTGCCTATTAATAAGGCGGCATTATTACGGTATCTTTCCAGAAAATGGCTTAACAAGATTTTACACCTTCAAGTTCATCAATATAAATTCCATCCAACAAATCTTTATCATCTCTACTGTCTATTAAACAGTGTTATAGCATATTTAAAGTTACATATTACATGTATTAATAAATTTCTGTAATAGATACATTTATATTAAATACAGTTAAAGTTCCTTCACAAATTCAAAATCTTTATTATACCACTAGATAACATACTTACTTTGGAAGCTGTCGAAACTCTCCTGAGTAATCTTCATATCTATAGTTAACAACATGCCAGTCTGAATTGTAGGTTTTGATGCACTGTTTTAATGAAAACCAAATATCAGTATTAATTGGAAAAGGATTAACAGCATTCCCTAGACACACACACAAAAAACCTCTTAAGATATGGCTGTTTATGAACTACCACGGTTACATGTCGGTCTCTGAAAATTCTGTACACTTCCCTTCATTTGCAATACAGTCTAGTGCAATACAGCTTTTTGCAACAAGTAATGTTTCAATAGGATGTTATCATCTGCTAGACATGTATTTTACAAAACCAGAAAATGGTTAATACACTCAGCATCTGGATTAACCATCTTCAGTTGTCTGAAAAGTTAAAGCAGTTTCTCGCTGCAGCTGAAAACTTGAGTGAGCCTTTAGAAAACTCAGCATTAAAATAGATACATTATTAAAATAGAATATTCAATTTCACACATACGGATACAGAGAAACTAAAAACATCTTTTTCTTAAATTGATACTTCTAGTGCAATTAAATTAATATTTAAATCTAAACTGCATGCTTGCAGCTGTTGAAAAGCAATTATGTCATTAAGCTCTTGGTCTAGATCACAGGAAATACCGTTTTACTCCACCCATATTGCTACAACATAAAAGTACTGATTTATCTTGGCTTTGACCGAAGTAACATAAAACTGACAAAATCCGTTGCCAGAAACCATACGGTACAAAATTTTGTATGTTACACGAATAGACTTACATGTACACACACATAGCATCTAATAATTCAAAGATATTTTCTTTTATATTTCAAAATACAAAGTTAATACCTGCCAAGCAATTGTTTCTGCAGAAACTCATTAAACTTCATGAATTACCTATAACGCTCCTCCCTCCTTGTCTACCTTCTTCAAATTTATCTTAGAACTGTTTAGGTTAGGTATTAAGGGTATGTATCACCGTGGATAAATCACTTTGAGGTTTGAGGTAGATTCAGCTATTTGGAGCTCCTTCAGTTTTCTTGGAATTACAACAGACATTTATTTGTTTCAGATGTTAAAATATCAGCTTAAAGTATATCAGTAGAAAACCAGTAGATAATATAAAAAAGACAAAAATTTTAAACCTTTCATTCCTAAAAGTCTTCAACAAGACACCAAATGAAATACAACATCACAGTCAGAACCAAGGGAATGCCAACATAAGCAAGCAGTTATGAAAAGCTTTAGGTTTGAGGATGTTTCTTCTAC